GTACAGGTACATTGGTACAGCACATGTGAGTGAAATTCTTGTGTGTGAGCTTCACAAGCAATAGAGTTGTGCAAAATACAATAATGTAAACTTTATTGTTCTATTAATATACTTTTCACATTTTAACGTGATATAGCTCTGTTTTTCTTTTGTCTGGATGGCAGCTCTACGCTTCCATATCCGAGGACATTTCAATGTGGCCTCACAAAATTATCACGACTTACAACAATCATGAAAAGAGTTGGATGGACATTGCTGCTCAATCACAGCTGCCTGCTCAATGTTTTTCATTAGTAATTTTGCAAAGTTGATGGTGGTGGTGTGTGTATGAAAGACAGAGGTGGAGGACGAGAGACAGATTTTGTATGATAAGCTTCATAGTATGGACGCACAGTTTGAGTACTCAAATCGCATCAGAGCATCAGGCCGTACAGTGTGAGACCCTGCATCGTGACCTATGAACTTCTAACCCCTGAGATTCAATTGTACAGTTTGAGCAGGAGCTGAATAACGCGACTGAAAAATATCGCAGTGTTTACCCAACTTAATGCAGACTGTTTACAAGCTGCTGTTTCACATAATAAACCCTGCCTTCTGTTTCTGTTAAAGCAGTAGAGACGAGCTGTTTATATGTGCGTGGAAGTCCAGCGTCATTACCAGGCTAGCTGTGAGCTTCTAGCTCACGCTAGCTAACCAGCGAGCAGTTAAAAAGACAGCCGAAGCTGCACAAAACACCCACAAACTTGTCTCACTATGCTGTAACATAAGACTGACATCCAGCTAACCACAGCTAAAAAGATATTTAGAGAAAACTTACCATTTTGTCAGGTTACACGAGTTGAGTCGTTTCATGCTGAAAAGTTTGTTTGTTTTGGCTCTCAGTGAGAGCCTCTCACTGAAGACACCGACACTGAAGACATAGCTGTTCTTTTGTACTGCTTTTAAGCGAAACATTCTTTGTATATGAGGACAGGGGTGCTCATCCTCTTCAGCTCTAGCGTAGACGACTGGCTCTGCCATGTCTTCATGTATTTCTTCTTTCCATGTGTCTGCTACTTTGAAACGCTTGGGCAGTGTTGCCAACTCCTCAGTAAGGAAAATGCTATTGGTTGTCCTAAAAGTCGCTAGAAGTCGCTAAATGATGTCACCGCCTAATTTGCATAATTGATCATGCTAATCTAATTGTAACCTATGTTGTTGGAGAGAGAAATAACACCGTGGAAGAGACATAACGTGCGTAAAAAACGTCCTAAATGCATTTAGAATTTATTTAGAACTACAAATTAAATTTATTTTAGCAATTATTGTTTTTTTTAATGTCACAATTCCAACCCTGCTCCTTTACCCGGGCTTGGACCGGCAAAAGTGACCCGAAATAGGCGCTCTGGTGGAGTTACTTTGTGTGTGTGTGTTTATAAGTAGTTTTAAACCTTGTGATCCACAAAACAGCATAAGAGAAAAAGAGTAAAAGAAGAACTGACTGCGTTACAGCACCCGCTGCTTGTTGAGACTAAAAGCAATACGCGCTTTCACGTCTTTTATTAGGGGTCTGAAAACTAGCTAAATATAGCGACAAAGTCGCTAATTTGGCAACACTGCGCTTGGGCCGCTCTGGCATGACCAGTTTCAAACTGATTGGTAAAAAAGTTACTGGAAACTCCACTGGCGGCATGTTATCTAATGTGTTAAACTAATTATTTTTTAAAAAGTAACGAGTCGCAAATGTAGCGGAGTAAAAGTACCGTTTCTTCTTCATAAATGTACTCAAGTAAAAGTAAAAAGTATCGTGCCAAAAAGGTACATTAAAAGTAATTTTTTTTCAAAAACTTACTCAAGTAAATGTAATGGAGTAAATGTAACTCCTTACTACCCACCTCTGGCTACTGAGTCATCAAAAGGTTTCTATCTGATATTAATTCTATTAATAATGCTTAGGACTCATATTGCACTGCTGGAAAAAGTTTATTTTGATGCATATGCTGCTTTTTTGCAAATTTGCAGTATAATATTTATTTTCGTTTTTCCTACAGTGTATAGAAATTGGTGTATTTCAAAAATAAAACTATGAAGACACTCAAAATAAATTTCCTGTGGTGGGAAACTATTTTGTGCAACTTTTTTGTATTTACAGTTTTGAGGGATAAGCCTTATAAATTTCTCTAACTAGAAATATATGTAAAAAAAAACAAAAACGATTTTAAATTTTTTTGTAGTTTATTGATCTTTTGTGCAATTTATGTAATTACTATGCACTTAATGAATACATATTATTAAAATTTAGGCTATAGTGGTTGTATTGATGTATAGCAACTTGAAATGCTCCCAAAAATGGCTCTACAACATGTAAAAATATAATATAAGCTCTGGTGGACTTGGTTCTATGGTAGGTCTTAAAGGGTTAAGCATGTGAATATCATTTTAGTTTCTCACCACATGAGGGTGGTGCTGTTGTTTGTGTTTTGTGTCTTGTATATGTAAGCTGTATGTCGCAGCAGAGCATTGGATGAAGGCCACCTCCTCTGAACTGGGGTTTGACTCAGCTGGTTGAGCTCCACCTTCTTTCAGACTATCAAATAGACTGTTCTTTCACACACAGATGGCAGTGTAATGCTTTTTTTCTGCCTACAAGAGCCAGATTAGCAACTTTTCACATATTGCAAATAATTTTACACAGCAATCCTGATAACCATAGGGGTGGAAATACATTTCTCTTCATTTTAGTCAGGATGTTAAGCCACTTGAATTTATTTTATTGATTGATTTCTTTCTTTCTTTTTGGTGATAGGATAGGTAAGCCTGACCTGCCAAGAGGCCTTCACTTCTTTTGCTCTCTTTCTCACTCTGCTCTCTCTTTCCTTCTCTGTCTGTGTCACTGGTCACCACTCCCAAGTTCCCACACCTGATTATGCTACTCTGAGTTCTCTATACATGGCATCGGCACAGATAGTGCAATGCTCAGAGAAACAGCAAAAACTCAAAAGGTACATCTACAAGCCTAGTTTAACATATAAAATGGCGAAGCACATGAAAGAACACCTATAAAAAGACTGAACAAGTATGGCTTGTTTGGAAGAGTTGCCATTACAAATCCTCTTCTCTAAAAAAACACGGAAGCAGCAACTAGGTAGTAAACCACAAGGCTTCCAGAAAAATGTCTGTCTTTTACTAATATGCCATGCAAAGTGTGTTTAGTATTAGTGTTAGTCTGCACCCTCCAATTACCACAGTCCCTTGTACTATTTACTAAACAATAATGATGTAATGGACAAAGGTAATTCAGGAAGCCAATTGTCAATCCCTGCTATAGAAACAGTTCAGTGATTCTTCTTTCAGAAGAAAACGTCCCCATTTTGCCTAACCCTATCTTGAGTAATTTTTAAATTTGTATGCTTTTACATTGTATCAAGACCCTAGTGTTTTTTTCAGTTCTTTCTTTTTTTAATGTAAGGGATTTTTAAATGTAATTTAAAAAAAATGTTTTTGCGGTATGGATTCAAAATAGCTGCCATCATGCTTTATGCTTAACAAAACTGCTTAAATATTTATCTTTCAAAGAATGTTTGTGCACATTATTTCATCAGATAGAACTACTGCTGTTTTCCGAGCCATTTTGTCACTAAATGGCAGAGTTCAGTAATGATTAGGCATAGAATGTTTGTTCACACTGCCAAAATAAAAAAAAAAACGTGTTAAAGATTAAACAACAACTCTTATGAAACAGTATCAGCTTCAGTTTTGAGGTGTGTTACTTCTGCAAAATGTTACTAATACTGTCTGCGAATTGATGATATAGCACTTTTAGAATGACAGTTTGTTGTTTGAAGGACTGGTACCAGTAGGTCAAAGAGAGAACACTGTTGTTGGAGCAACATAAAGAAATGCTGCACAGACATATGCAGCACATGGAGCAACTGAGTTTGTCTGTGAATAAATTAATGGGCAGATCTAGAAGTTTGAATAGCTTATCAGAATGTCCTTAAGAGCAGTTAATGCTAGTCAGTCTGGTTGTCTCTATAGTATAAGTGCTTTCTTAATGGGTCAATATACTGAATATTATATTAGTATCGAAGAGTATCGAAAAGCACAATCATGGAGAAGCTGCTTGAAACATTTAATTTTGCAAAAATTAAATGTTCACTCAAAACCCAAACATTATTCTAGAAGTTAGGATAGGGCAATGCTTTTTTCAGGCAGGCCACAAAATCAAGCAGCAGATCAGATGACCGATGTCGCCAATGCCTGTTCTGTTCTGCATGGATTTCCTTTTCCCCCATCTGTGACTTTCCAAATATGCACATGGAAGCACAGGTATGTCTCTGATCGATTCATACCACCAAATATAAGTTACTGCAGTTAATGCAGGACCACTGCAGTCCTGCAATAATTTTATATTTAACTCAAACATTTTTGACCGCACCTCATGTGCATCAGTTCCTCCAATCCCGGTTGCATTGCATTGTATAAATGTGTAGCAGTCATTATCAGATTCTAAATATTATGATACTCTTTGATGTTGTGCACAAATGCAAGGTTTCCCCTGGCAGATACATAGTTTTACTTCAATGTATATAAAAAAACCTAACCAAATTTTGAGTTTTTCATTTTATATGTAGACACAAGTGACTTTACGCACACACACACACACACACACACACACACACACACACACACACACACACACACACACACACACACACCACTAAAACACAAGTGAGGCAACACACAGCCATGCTTGAGAGTTTTATTATTGCATAGGAAGAAGAGTTTACAGATAAAAGGCAAAGATGAGGAATACTTTTTACGGAAAAACTACTTTTCCACAGTTTAGGCTAGGGTTAAGAACTAGGGTTGGGATTGCCACTATTCATGACATAGACTTTTTATTTTGTTGCAAAATTTTTATGCTAGAGACAAAAGATGAAACAGAAATTGTAAAGCCAAATGAAGAATGTAAAACAAAAGCCACTGCACACCAAACAGTGTGTATTTTGACAGAAATTTCACATTTTCTTGACACAAACAGAAGGTCGACTTTTGCTGCATGCTATATCATCCCAGCACTTGGAACCTGTAAGATCCAAAAGCAAAAATCAGCAAAGTACAACACAAATCAAAACCTGAGACAATCCTTTTGACTTTTACTTGTTATCACTTAAAATAATTTACACATTTATTAACCATGTGAAATGTTGTGTTCTGGTTTACCGTTATGATTGATTTGCAGACAGTGCTGGTTGCGCCAGAAATTATTGGGCTCTCCTGGGCACCAGTTTGAATAGTCGAAAGGCTTTCCATCAGTCCATAACCAGGCCTTGTTCTAGATGAGAGAAATCGTGCATAGCACCGATTTTATTCACACCAAATAGTCAAGCTTAGCCACTGTCCCAGCAGATGAGCTAACATTGATGCAAGCCCAGATCATATCTACTTCATTTGTTAAAACTCACAGATACACTATTAAAGCTGCTTTAGCAACTCTACTGTTTCTGCATTCTCTACCTACCTCCAGCTCAGGCGTCTTTCATGCTGTTTCTGATTTAATCTATTATCATTGTTTGTTTCATTGTAAATACTCTCCCCATTGTCGGCTTTACGTATATTCTATTAGCACAGCAGGAAGGATCTATTTCTGATTCATTCAGACATAGATAAATAGAAACAGGCTAAACAAAGTACCTCCTGTGCATCACTTCCTCCAATCCAAGTTTCTTGGTAGTCATGACTGGCAGTCACTATCAGGTGCTGAATCCCATGATACTCTGTGCTGCTGTGCACAGATGCAAGGTTGGCCCCCATGACCAAGCAGTTTTTCTTCAATGGAGATGAAAGCAGGGAGCAACATCTGGATTCAGTTACAGTAAAAGGATATGGATTAATCCATTTTGGATGACAATACAAATGGAATAAACCTACCTCTGCTTTAGCCCATGTCGTGCGTCTTGGAATGTAGAGGAAACAGCGACCACTCAACAGAGTCCAACCACCAGGACAATCAGAGGACCTCTTGACCAGGTGACTTTTGGCTGGGGGAAATTATGACTTGTACACTTTTGTACACTTTTCCGAGAGAGATCAACATTTACACTCTGTAGCTTTAATTCACACCCAGATGTGGGTTTAAAGTGACCATTACAATAATAAAAGAGAGTATGAAAAATGAACAAAACTGCAGAGCCCTTTAGGTTTGTGAAGAAGTCTAGGTGAACTGAAGAAGCCTCTTGGATGAGAGATGAAATGTCTTCACAGACTTAAAGAAGTCCAGTTGCATTCTTTTTTCAAATTCTCTAAACTACCATGACCTGAACTGTTTTCAACTCAGCTCAGTATCTTTTAAATACAAACTGTATGTTTGGATTTTTGTCCATATCTCTATCAGCAATGCTGCACTCTGCCTTTACAAACATTTGTAAAAGGATGGCTCAATCTAAAGACCTCACTGATGTCAGGTATGATACAGTAATACGATGCCACCTTTGCAAGAAGCCAGTTCATTAAATCTCTTCCCTTATAGTTGCTCCCAAACAAATCAGCTGCAAGTGTTTACTCAACCAGAAAGTGGCAGAGCACATAATTACAGTGCTGAGGTGTATAAAAAATAACATTTCACAAAACACTGCTGATTAAATAACATTAAGCTAATGTTTTGTTTTGGGTTTTTTCTCGAGAAAACAAATACCAAGTTACATGAAACAATGAAAAGTTAACAAGAAAAAACAAATATGTGAAAAATGTATTGTCATCAGAATCTAGGATCTAAAATGCGTGTAGCAGGGGAATGATTTCCTTGTGCCAATTTAAGACAGACATTAGTTGCCTTTATTTTATTTGTAGTCCATCATTGTAAATTTAAATGTTCCAGAATGGTAAGTGCCATTCACATTGATTTCAAAGCCAAGCCAGAGAGCCAAGGCAACTACACTAAATTATTTATCTTGTAGTCTGCGATCACAAGTGTTCAAACTTCTTTTCAGCTTGAAAGGTGAACTGCAGTAATTTACACTATTTAGTTTACACAGTTTTTTCATTTTTCTCATGAATTTGCCCTTCTTATGTTTGTTTTTCTCATTAATTTATGACACTAATCTACATCTTATAATCTAAATATTATTTATTTATTCATGTATAACTTTCTTTCTTATTAACCCAATAAAGTGACTTAGAAATAACATGTTTTGATGTTAAATCATTAAGCCATTTGGCCACATGTAAATAGAAAACAAACAGGAAATTAATTTCAAATCATGTTATGCAACTGCAGATGATAATATAATTAGACAAAAACTTAAGGGGCACATTTTTGGAAAAATGTTGCAGTATGCTTACTGACCTGTTTGATTGGTTCCACTCCCTCCTTTGGGGAGAACTGAAAAAAGGACACTTAATGAACTTTTTGCCACCATTTACAAATAAAACTGTACTCACAATACTCACCAGCAGCATGGGTCAGAATCATCATAGCACAAACAAACACACACACAGGAAACATCTTCACGGTTATACAGATGATACAGCAAAGTTATAAAACTTCAGAAAGAGTGTGGCAGAGGGGATGCAGAATGACCGCTTCTTCTTTCTTAGTATCAGCCTGTAGCTACAAACTTTGAAGGGAAATCACATATATTATATACAGGTTTTTATCTCATCATCTATCATAAAATGAGGAAGTGACACAGCCAAACACACAAAGAAAAAGCATTTTAAATGAAGCAAGATTGTAGCTTTGAATGTTTGATCGAGCTAGTTATTAATCAACACCAATTTTTTTTTCTTTTTTTGTTGTTTGTTTGTTTTTATGGGACTTGTGGCATTCCCCTGCATTGTGGTGAATTTTTATGTATCACTTTACCTTTTTTATGAATGCATTTATGGTGGAAATGGCCTCTAGTAAGGCAGCACGGTGGCATGGTGGTTAGCACTGTTGCCACACAGCAAGAAGATCCTGAGTTCAATTCCACCATCAAGCCGGGGGCTTTCTGTTCTCCCTGTGTTTGTGTGGGTTCTCTCCGGGTACTCCGGCTTCCCGCCGCTGTCCAAAGACATGCTGTTTATGGGGATAGGTTGATTAGTTATTTTGGATTAACCAAATCCAAATTGCCCGTAGGAGTGAATGTGAGTGCGAATGGTTGTCTGTCCCTGTGTGTTAGCCCTGTGACAGACTGGCGACCTGTCCAGGCTGTACCCTGCCTCTCGCTCTATGACAGCTGGGATAGGCTCCTGCGCCCCCTGCGACCCTGAAACGGATAAGCGAATGGAAGGATGGCCTCTAGTAATATAAAAGAAAAAAAATAATCATGATGTAATAACAGAGTACTCTTTGGTCTTTTCATGTTATTGGCAAACTTATGCACTTGATATTTATAGTAGATACTATTATATTAATTGATGTGGGTATAAATTGGATATTGTTGTTCTGAAATAACAAAGATACAGTGCTAAACAATGGGTGCTTTAGGCCATTGATAGTTGTTTGCTAGGAAACATGATGGGATCATAATATTTGGTCAATATAAGAACGCTTAATAGCCGAGCATGCTGATGTAGGTGAAGATCTAAAAGACAATGTCCTAAAATTGCAACCAAAAGGGACCCAAAATAAAAATAAAAACAACAACTTTATTAAGGCTGATGAGACAGCCCTGGAATGCAAAACCAATTAAAGGAAAAGGAAACTCAGTCCACAATGGTAATATATGTGGACAGCGTGACGCTTTTGTACTGCATTCAAATAATTATCTACATCCGATTGCCTCGAGGCCTTATGACATCCTCGACACTATGCAGATGAACATATAAAAGTGATGAACACCTCTTTCGTCGAATTTTGAGTGTTTCAATCAACTTTGTTACATCTGTGGTGTTCCCGCCGTCAAAAGTGACTGCCATAGATAATGAATAGAACCCCCCAGCCCCTCTTTGGCCTCTGACCCACTGAATGTCCCACTCAATGACCACTGAACGACCCATTGACCCACCCACTGAACTGAATTCGGTAATGAAAAATGTTTCTTATGTTAATTTAAGAGCACTAAAGTAACCCCTTACTTTAGTGCTCTGGGGGTGAAAACAACCGTAGGGTTAAAAAGAAGCACCTAGCCGTGTAGTCCGCCTTTACAAATATTTTTAAGTAAGCGAATGAATCATTTTAAAGAGCCCACTGAATTTGAGCAAGGTACTGTAATAGTATGCCACCAAATATTTAAAATTAACATTAGTATTTTAACAGTTAAGATGTCTTTTAGCTGAATTCCTGCTTGTGTGAAGCCCTCACATAGAGTGTGAGCATGCTGTGGGCCTCCTGCACATGCACAACGGGCACCGTAAAGGTCCTTCTGTGCTTAGGTATCTTAAGTAAGGTTTACTTAGATTTTTTTTTTTAATTCTGGGAACTAATTCGATTTTACAGTGTATACTTCATGCTGGTGCTGGGATGTGGGTCTATCTGCAGTGTCCTCATACAGTCTGCTTCCTTGGAGCCTGTTTGAAAGTGTGAATAAAAGAAAGCTAATGTTAAAGTCTACACTGTGAGTGGACATTGTGTTTTAAGTTTAACATATTTTGCATTTTGTTAATGTTTTGTGACTTGTACAGCTCTGTATACAGATACGTCTTTTTTTTCCTGTGTCCATATAATATTTTATGGGAATGATGCCATATGATGCCATAGCCCTGACACTACACACTGCCCTGTCACACCTGGAGAAGAGAGACACGTACAGTGGGGCAAAAAAGTATTTAGTCAGCCACCGATTGTGCAAGTTCCCCCACTTAAAATGATGACAGAGGTCAGTAATTTGCACCAGAGGTACACTTCAACTGTGAGAGACAGAATGTGAAAAAAAAATCCATGAATTCACATGGTAGGATTTGTAAAGAATTTATTCGTAAATCAGGGTGGAAAATAAGTATTTAGTCATAACAAAAATACAACTCAATACTTTGTAACATAACCTTTGTTGGCAATAACAGAGGTCAAACGTTTACTATAGGTCTTTACCAGGTTTGCACACACAGTAGCTGGTATTTTGGCCCATTCCTCCATGCAGGTCTTCTCGAGAGCAGTGATGTTTTGGGGCTGTCGCCGAGCAACACGGACTTTCAACTCCCGCCACAGATTTTCTATGGGGTTGAGGTCTGGAGACTGGCTAGGCCACTCCAGGACTTTCAAATGCTTCTTACGGAGCCACTCCTTTGTTGCCCGGGCGGTGTGTTTTGGATCATTGTCATGTTGGAAGACCCAGCCTCGTTTCATCTTCAAAGTTCTCACTGATGGAAGGAGATTTTGGCTCAAAATCTCACGATACATGGCCCCATTCATTCTGTCCTTAACACGGATCAGTCGTCCTGTCCCCTTGGCAGAAAAACAGCCCCATAGCATGATGTTTCCACCCACATGCTTCACAGTAGGTATGGTGTTCTTGGGATGCAACTCAGTATTCTTCTTCCTCCAAACACGACGAGTTGAGTTTATACCAAAAAGTTCTACTTTGGTTTCATCTGACCACATGACATTCTCCCAATCCTCTGCTGTATCATCCATGTGCTCTCTGGCAAACTTCAGACGGGCCTGGACATGCACTGGCTTCAGCAGCGGAACACGTCTGGCACTGCGGGATTTGATTCCCTGCCGTTGTAGTGTGTTACTGATGGTGACCTTTGTTACTTTGGTCCCAGCTCTCTGCAGGTCATTCACCAGGTCCCCCCGTGTGGTTCTGGGATCTTTGCTCACCGTTCTCATGATCATTTTGACCCCACGGGATGAGATCTTGCGTGGAGCCCCAGATCGAGGGAAATTATCAGTGGTCTTGTATGTCTTCCATTTTCTGATGATTGCTCCCACAGTTGATTTTTTCACACCAAGCTGCTTGCCTATTGTAGATTCACTCTTCCCAGTCTGGTGCAGGTCTACAATACTTTTCCTGGTGTCCTTCGAAAGCTCTTTGGTCTTGGCCATGGCGGAGTTTGGAGTCTGACTGTTTGAGGCTGTGGACAGGTGTCTTTTATACAGATGATGAGTTCAAACAGGTGCCATTCATACAGGTAACGAGTGGGGGACAGAAAAGCGTCTTACAGAAGACGTTACAGGTCTGTGAGAGCCAGAGATTTTCCTTGTTTGAGGTGACCAAATACTTATTTTCCACCCTAATTTACGAATAAATTCTTTACAAATCCTACCATCGTTCCCTCGAAGCTGGACAGGAAACTGCAGGATCTAGGACTGAGCAGCTCCCTCTGCAGCTGGATCCTTAGCTTCCTGTCTGACAGACGCCAAGTGGTCAGACTGGGCAGCATCACCTCATCCCCCGTCACACTGAACACTGGTGCTCCATAGGGGTGTGTACTGAGCCCTCTCCTGTACTCACTCTACACCTACGACTGCACGGCCACTAACAACTCCAACATCATTGTGAAGTTTGCGGACGACACTACAGTGGTGGGTCTTATCACCAACAGTGATGAGACAGCTTACAGGGAGGAGGTCAGCGCCCTGACCCACTGGTGTCAAGACAACCATCTCACCCTCAACGTCGCAAAGACAAATGAGTTGATAGTGGACTTCCGGAGGTGCAGAGAAGTACACACCCCTATCACCATCAACGGCGCTGCTGTGGAGAGAGTGAGCAGCTTCCGGTTCCTTGGTGTACATCTGGCTGAGGATCTTACGTGGTCAGTACACACAAACAAAACAGTGAAGAAGGCGCAGCAGCGCCTCTTCTTTCTCAGGAGACTGAAAAGATTCGGCATGAGCCCCCGCATCCTCAGGACCTTCTATCACTGTGCCATTGAGAGCATCCTCACTGGATGCATCACCACCTGGTATGGCAACAGCACCGCCTACAACTGCAAAGCTCTCCAGCGAGTAGTGCGGTGCTCTGAACGGATAATTGGAGGTGAGCTTCCCTCCCTCCAAGACATCTACAGGAAGCGGTGCCTGAGGAAAGCGGGGAGGATCATCAAGGACTCCAGTCACCCCAGCCATAAACTGTTCAGACTACTTCCATCAGGAAGGAGGTTCTGCAGCATCCGGTCCCGTACCAGCAGACTGAGAGACAGCTTTTTCCATCAGGCCATCAGACTGCTGAACACTTCATAGACACCTCAGCTTCACTACTAGAACTTTAACATTATGCACTCCATACTGTACAGTAACGCCACTGTTTTGCACATGTCTCACTCTGTATATTTTATTTTATATATTTTATTTATTGTTTACTCTATTTAATTTGTAAAATATGTGTATACACACACAAGTAGAAAAATATTTAGTATACACATCCAGAAATGCATATACTATTATATATTGTACATATATTTATTAGTTTCAGATGTAGCCATTCTTGTATTTTGCTTGTTTACATTATTGTATTTTGCACAACTCTGTTGCTTGTGAAGTACCAATGTACCTGCACATGTGATGTGACAATAAAAGTGATTTGATTTGATTTGAATGGGAAAACCACAACCTTTAAAAGACATTTTAAAATATAAACTAAGCATTATGAGTGTTCAGATTGATTTGTCTGCTTTAATGAGTTAGTTTTTTTTCTGTAATGCTACATACATTACAATACAAACAGTCTTCATTTCCACTTCCTCTAAAAGAATGATTAAAGAGCTTTTTAGAGCTGCCATGTGGTTTTATACCAGATGTAAAAATGTTAAAAATAGTCATTATAACTTAGGGGTTTCTGAATAAAAAAACAAACAAAAAAAACCCAAACAAAACCAAAACAAAACTACAGTTATATAACATAATTGCTTTAGGTGAAGCACCTAGTGTTTTTAAGAAAGCCAAAGATCATCATGGCTGTTTATGCAGTATGTAAACATTTTGAAACTGACGTTAATCAACAGAGATAATAAATGCAACTATTTCCCCAGTGATATTCAGTATGCGTTAGATGCAGTATGATCACAAGTGCTTCATATTAAATTATCAGGGATTTTAAAACATATTAAAACAAAATTCACAAACATTTATGTACCCATTGTCAGCACAGTTCAAAATGATGTGGTAAAGATAAAACCAAAACTCTTGTAACATGTCGCAACTTCAGTTTTGAAGGGTGGTTTTAAAAGCTCAAACTTCTTCAAAATGTTACCAAAGCTGCTGGCTAACTGATGAAATCAAGATAGTTTATCTTCAAGTCACAGACGAGTTCCTTTCCTATCTTCCATTTTTTCATATTAAAGAAAAAAATAACTTCAGTTACATCTTTTGGGTTTTTTAAGGCACAAAGCCCACTGGAACAAAGACAACCAACTGCACGGCAAGACACAAGACAGACAAAACACAAGACAGAGCTCTTTGTCCTTTGACTCATGAGGGAAGCTGGCCAAGGCCAAGAACTGCTCCCCTCACTTGAACCCAGCCAACCTCGACTGACTTCCTCATCACTGCCTCTTTTATTGACAACAAACAATCATACATGAATATACAATTACAAATACACGTGACAGTCTTAGGCAGGCATATCTGATCAAAATCAGCGTCTGTATTCTGTGTGTGTGTTTTCAGCCATACCATACATAGACATACTTCCTTATCAACCTTTCCAGTTGCAACAAACAGGGTGCAACTTTTCAATGAACTTAACATGTATATGAGGTATGCTGAAAAGCAGAAGTGAGCGTATCGCTAAACTATAAAACCAGGAACTTGAAAAAAGTCATATCTCAAGTGAACCTTTAAAGGTGTGAAGTCGTGCACCTTAGAAGAGCAGAACCTTGTGTTTTCTAAATATGCAATGTAGCTCATATCTGCACAAGGCTGCATTTTAATTGGTGAAAAAACATTTTATTAGCACACATGCAACAGGAACTTTGTCGCATGGAGTCACACAAACCACCTGCAACTCAACACCTCAAAGACTAAGGAACTGGTTGTGGACTTCGGGAGGTCCAGAGAAGGTCCACTGCCGGTTCAGATAGAGGGGGAGGAGGTGGAGGTGGTCAACAAGTACAAGTACCTCGGGCTGTGGGTGGACAATAAACTGGACCGGTCATGCAACACAGAGCACCTGTATAAAAAAGCCCAAAGCCGACTGTACTTCCTCAGGAGGCTGAGGTCTTTTAACATCTGCAGGAAGCTCCTGAGGATGTTTTACCAGTCGGTGGTTGCTGGAGTACTTTTCTATGCTGTGGTGTGCTGGGGGAGCAACACAGCAAAGAAGGACTCATCCAAGCTGGAGAAACTGATCAGGAGGGCTAGCTCTGTGGTCGGCATGAAGCTGGACACTCTGGTGACAGTGGCAGAGAAAAGGACATTAAAGAAACTGATGGACATTATGAACAATGCTGGGCATCCTCTGCACACGGCCATAAACAACCAGAAGAGTCTGTTCAGTGACAGGTTGCTTCTCCCCAAGACAAGAACTAACAGACTTAAAAACTCCTTTGTCCCACACGCCATCAAACTGTTTAACTCCTTTCTGGAGGGGAGAGGGAGGGGAAACAGGAGGACAAAGGAGGGGGGAACAACTAAGCTGTAGTGCCTCTTCACCTCACTGTACAATACCTTGTGCAATACTTTTTGTAAATAGTCAACAGTGCAATAGACTCAATACTTGAAATGTGCAATTCACTTGTATTTTTATTTTTTATTCCTATTTATTCTATTTATCCCCTTTGTATATTTTATTTATATTTGTCTCTGTATTTATATATGTGTGTGTGTGTGTGTGTGTGTGTATATATATATATATATATATATATATATATAACAATTCTGTAACTGTAACTTCGGTCGTTGCTGTGCTTTTTGGAAGTCGAATTTTCCAGAGGAACCCACCCGAGGGATTAATAAAGTTCTATCTTATCTTATCTTATCTTATCTTATCTTATCTTATCTTATCTTATCTTATCTTATCACATTGACAACCGTTTTAGGACTTTATAGCAATGACTATATATATATATATATATATATTAGCACAAATGACAGTCTTACAAACATCAACCTTGACAACATCCTAATGGTTTTATCTAAATTCAGTGTTGCGTTATACAGTGGCAAAAATATAAAAAAAAATTAAAAATTAAAAATTAAATTGAGTAAAATTTAATTTGTCTTAACAATTTTTGAGATGCACTCCTTATAACACCTTAAAGCTGTGATGGCTGAGTAGTTACGGCATTGTACTTGGAATCCAAAGGGGATTCCCTGTGCAGGTTCAAATCCTGCTCACAGCAGTAGTGGCTTTCTCTGAACAGATTAAGTATTAGTGAGTTTCCCAAAGGAACCCACTTGAGGGATTCATGAAGCTTTATCTGATTTTTTTTAATCTAATCTCTATGTTATATCGAAATGTTAATTCTGAATTACATTTCTCAGCCTATTTTAGCTCCCTGTCTCATAGACATGGAGGAAGCACAAAAACTATTGAAAGAATTGTGCACACAAACATACTGAATGAGGAAATGCATTTGCACTGTGAAATAAATGAGAAGTTGCACAAATTTCCACAAGACTTCTAGGTAGATTTCTTTTTTTTTCAACTAATGACTAAGAATAGAATTTGAGTAAAAGAAGAATTGTATTATGCATTGTTATATTATCTTAAACCTCTGAGACTGTCCTAAAGAAAGAAAGTTGTTTTTTTAAGGGATCCTTTCTGCCCTTTTCAAAAATACAACATTAGGGTAGGGTTGTCATTGGTTTTATACAATGACTGTAGAAAACCTGGATGGTGCGACAGCTCCCCAAAGATGAAGCCAAAACGTCTCTGTCGCCCCCTGATGTCGGGTTGCAGTATAGGTCATAAACCCCACCTCCTCCGTGCCAGGAGGATTGCCAGGATATATACATCGGGGAAACCAAACAACCTCTGGCGAAGCGGATGGCACAACACAGAAGAGCTACCTCGTCAGGCCAGGACTCTGCAGTCTATTTACACCTACAGGCCAGTGGCGCTGGTTTGAGCGTGGAGTCAAGGAGGTCATTTAAAGGGAAAGACCATCTCTGAATCGAGGAGGCGGCCTAAGGTCTGTGAAGGTTCTCAGTCATCCAGGTCATCGTAAGGAGCTTGGAAAGAAAAGCGTCTGGACTTCTTTAAGTTGCTTGAAGACGTTTCACCTCTCATCCGGGAAGCTTCTTCAGTTCTAAGGGTCAAATGGTGGGGAGTCCCAGATATAAACCCAGTGGGAGTTTCCCCCCAAAGAGGGACGAAGGACCCCCTGATGATCCTCTACCTAATCACATGAGCCAAGGTGTGAAAGCGGGTGTGGGTCCCAATCAGCCATGGTTTTGGGTGAGCTCATTGTGAAACCTGGCCCCACCTTATCATGTGAATTCCTGAGGGCAGAAGGCCCAGGATGTGAGTGGGCGTTAAGGCGTCTGGGAAGGGATCTCAAAACTGGATTATAGATGGCAGAGAGTTGGTGTCGTAAACCACCGCCTCTGTTCAAAGATGGTCTCTCACAGTGGACATAGATGGCTTCTTTCACTCCTCTTTAAAACCATCTGTCATCTCTGTCCAAAATGTGAACGTTGGCATCCTCGGCCTAAGGGTACATCTGTCATCATCTTACAATGCTGTGATTGCAGCCATTCCCCAACTCTCTGTGAATTGTACTCAAGGCCATTGATCAGTGGTCTTTGATCAGTGGGTTTTGGTCAGTGGTTGTTGATCAATGGTCATGAGAATTTGTTTAATTATGATTAAGGAACTCACCTCCCTGTCCATTGTTCCTTCAGTGGGCTGGTTTCAGTCATTATGCAAATGTACTGTTTATAAGATTGGGGAAACCTGCAGTTAGTTGAGACTGAAGAAGTCACTTGGATGAGTGACAAAACGTTTACAAAACGCTACGTCCAGATGAACAGAATCAACTTTTGGAAATGTGTTAAATAAGTTCTCAGAAAAAAAAGCACAAATAGATGATGTTCAAGCTGAAAATATATTAGATTTGATGTAAATGACATGGATATTCACAAAATGTGTATGAGATATCCTGCTAAACTTCCCCCACTGCAATTTTCACAGAAATTCACAAATGAAAAATGACACAATTAGCTTTTCAAGCATGTTTATTTGTAATACTCATCCAGATCTTTAGAAGTTTGTCATTTTGTCATTTGTCATTTTGTCATTTTTGTCCATTTTGATCAAACCATTTTTTACATAAAGTATTGTATTTGTATTCCATTATGCAAAATGGAATACAAAGGACTATGTCGGGTGCAGTTTTTATGAACAACTTAAGATTACACAAAAGGTAACAATTTATAGAGAGTATTAACAATTGAGCTCAATTGAGCTCAAATGCATTGTTCTCCACTGATTGTCTGTCAAAGGTTTCTACAACATGTTTGGTAAATTCAGTTGATTGGAGATTATTTGGAAAGGCATACACACTTGTCTATACAAGAACCCATCATTGGCAGTGCAGAGGACACATCAAGTCCAAGGACATAACTGTAGACCGGAGTGTATCAAGGCACAGGTCTGGGGACGGGTACAGAAAATTTCAGCGCATTTAAAGTTTCACAGTGCACAGTGGTCTCCATCATTCATAAGTGGAAAACATTTTGAACCACCTGGACTCTTGTCATGGCTACCAGACAGACTTATGCACAGACAGAGTTCTTTGACAATAAAAGAACACAGCTTATTAACAACGGGGAAGAGCTCAATGCTATATACAGTGGGGCAAAAAAGTATTTAGTCAGCCACCGATTGTGCAAGTTCCCCCACTTAAAATGATGACAGAGGTCAGTAATTTGCACCAGAGGTACACTTCAACTGTGAGAGACAGAATGTGAAAAAAAAATCCATGAATCCACATGGTAGGATTTGTAAAGAATTTATTCGTAAATCAGGGTGGAAAATAAGTATTTGGTCACCTCAAACAAGGAAAATCTCTGGCTCTCACAGACCTGTAACGTCTTCTGTAAGAAGCTTTTCTGTCCCCCACTCGTTACCTGTATGAATGGCACCTGTTTGAACTCATCATCTGTATAAAAGACACCTGTCCACAGCCTCAAACAGTCAGACTCCAAACTCCGCCATGGCCACGACCAAAGAGCTTTCGAAGGACACCAGGAAAAGTATTGTAGACCTGCACCAGACTGGGAAGAGTGAATCTACAATAGGCAAGCAGCTTGGTGTGAAAAAATCAACTGTGGGAGCAATCATCAGAAAATGGAAGACATACAAGACCACTGATAATCTCCCTCGATCTGGGGCTCCACGCAAGATCTCATCCCGTGGGGTCAAAATGATCATGAGAACGGTGAGCAAAGATCTCAGAACCACACGGGGGGACCTGGTGAATGACCTGCAGAGAGCTGGGACCAAAGTAACAAAGGTCACCATCAGTAACACACTACAACGGCAGGGAATCAAATCCCGCAGTGCCAGACGTGTTCCGCTGCTGAAGCCAGTGCATTTCCAGGCCCGTCTGAAGTTTGCCAGAGAGCACATGGATGATACAGCAGAGGATTGGGAGAATGTCATGTGGTCAGATGAAACCAAAGTAGAACTTTTTGGTATAAACTCAACTCGTCGTGTTTGGAGGAAGAAGAATACTGAGTTGCATCCCAAGAACACCATACCTACTGTGAAGCATGGGGGTGGAAACATCATGCTATAGGGCTGTTTTTCTGCCAAGGGGACAGGACGACTGATCCGTGTTAAGGACAGAATGAATGGGGCCATGTATCGTGAGATTTTGAGCCAAAACCTCCTTCCATCAGTGAGAACTTTGAAGATGAAACGAGGCTGGGTCTTCCAACATGACAATGATCCAAAACACACCGCCCGGGCAACAAAGGAGTGGCTCCGTAAGAAGCATTTGAAAGTCCTGGAGTGGCCTAGCCAGTCTCCAGACCTCAACCCCATAGAAAATCTGTGGCGGGAGTTGAAAGTCCGTGTTGCTCGGCGACAGCCCCAAAACATCACTGCTCTCGAGAAGATCTGCATGAAGGAATGGGCCAAAATACCAGCTACTGTGTGTGCAAACCTGGTAAAGACCTATAGTAAACGTTTGACCTCTGTTATTGCCAACAAAGGTTATGTTACAAAGTATTGAGTTGTATTTTTGTTATTGACCAAATACTTATTTTCCACCCTGATTTACGAATAAATTCTTTACAAATCCTACCATGTGGATTCATGGATTTTCTTTTCACATTCTGTCTCTCACAGTTGAAGTGTACCTCTGGTGCAAATTACTGACCTCTGTCATCATTTTAAGTGGGGGAACTTGCACAATCGGTGGCTGACTAAATACTTTTTTGCCCCACTGTACATGTATAGTGATTTGGGAGGTGGGTCCAGGGCTCCAGGGAGAGGGGTAATCCACACACTTCAGCCGCATTTGGTACATAACTCTACTCACGCTGCCGCACACATTAAGGGTCCGTAATCCAGTCCATGAGGGGGATATCTACACACAGAATACAATAGTTAGGCGAATATACAGAGGGAGATCTCAGATGAAGCTCAGAGCTCGAACTCAGGAGATTCAACGTTCCAGTGGTGAACTGCTCTGTGCCACTGCCTTGAATAACAGCTGGGGAAAGATCAGCAGCAGGTGGTGACACTCACACAGGTGTGTGGGCCAAGAGCGAGAACCTGTAATGAGCTCCGCCCAGACAGAGAGGAGTGAAGGAGAGGCATAGAGGAAGAGAAAAACAAAAACAAAAATGGTAGCCAGTGTGAGACAGCCAGAAATACATGGGGACCATCACACTCTTCCCAGAGCTTGTCACCCAGCAAATTAGAGCAATTGCTGTAGACTAAGAACCCAAAGGTGACTATGACAGACATCCAACATTGATCTGTTGAGCACAATCCAGAAGAACAACCATTTCTGCAGCACTCAACCAACGTGTGTAAATGGTGTGTGACTGACCATATGGAAGCCAGTCCTCAGTAAAAGGCAGCTCTACATATTTGTTGTAATAAATACACTCTACAAATAACATGTTGACTAGATTTGCTTTGGGTGTGAAACTTGATAATTAAATCAATTTTTAACGTTGTAGGTTGTGGTGCATCAATTTTTGCATGCATATTCATTGTGTAATATTAATAAACTTGATAATAAACCTCAAAGTAAATCTTTGTAAACATGTGTTCCTTTTTCATGTTTCATATTTAAACTTGATCATGGTGACAGGCACTTGATAAGTCTAAAAACTCAAGAGAAAGAGCAACGCAGTCAGCCGGTGATCGGCTGTGATCAGC